TACTCAGTCTAGGGGTTTGTAACCCACCCTGCAATCAGTTATTCCAGGGTCACGGAGGGGCGCTACCTGGAAGGGAATGAGCTAAGACAGAAGAAGGAGGCCAAGCAGATTTGTCAAAGCCTCCCGTTTATTAGGGTCATGGTTGCTGCTTATATATGGTAAGGAATGGGGGGCAGGGCAAGGGATCTCGCCGGCCGCGAGGTCCCGGTCACGTAGCTTGGTCAGGTTACATTCGGATGGGTAGGCCAGAAGTCACAAGTTGCCACACCTGGTTCCCTGGATAGCTGGAATGTGAGGCGGGTTCCTCTAACAGATTAACAGTTAATTGGGTGAGAGGAAGGTTTTCACAATAGAACATAATTATGGGTGTGAGGTTCTCTGCAGACTCCCCAGGGTGATGGTTCCTGTAATGATTGGGGGGGAAATGGCTCCTGACAGAAATGCTTACTAGGTTCAGAAAGGAGAAAACTGTAGCCATTGCAGATGGAGTGGACTAGAGGTTGTGGTGGAGAGGACTCTGATGTTGATAAGTGTGTTATACAGAGTGAAGTGTGGTCACATAGTATATTAGGAGAAGCAGGAGAAGCTGAGCTGGCAAGTGCATATATTACATGCAGTGTGTGCAAAACCCCAAACCAGATTGACTCTCCACCTTATCTATTTCCTTTGCTTGCCTGACTTACAAATAAGTAAAAAGGATATACATTTATACATATATATTATAATGAATATTCATATTGAGGAATCTGCTTTAATAGTTCAATTCTTGTAACCGTCAGTCTAAACTCTTTGTTGTTCTTCTTGCCCTATTTATTAAACAGTATATGCTTGTATACCACATTGTAGCAATAAATAAATCTTAGTTAATATATTTTTTAAGATACATGTATTCATTCCTTCATATGTGTGGGTTGGAAAGTAGGGATGCTATAACTTAAGCCTGGAACTCAGAAGACAATTTTCAAGTGTCAACTCTCTCCATACACCATGCTAATACGAGGAATTGAACTCATTCATCAGACTTTGGAGGTCAGTGTTTTACTTGCTGAAACATCTCTCAGGCTCTCTTTTTTTTTTTTGTTGTTCAAAAAGGAGCAGGCCTCCCATGGGTGTCAACAAAGCATGGCATATCAAATTAAGGTAGTGCTAAGCTCCTCCTTATGTAGTAAGGCTGGGCAAGGCAACCCTGTATAAAAAATAGGTTCCTGGAAGCCTGCCAAAGCCTTAAGGATAGGTCCTACTTCCAAAACTAGGAGTCCCACAAGTAGTCAAACTATGTAACTATCAGTCATATGACGAGGGCCTATGTTGGTCCGATTCAGGCTCAATTTCCCTGTAAAGGGTAAAGAGAAGTCATAGGTAGACTGAAGGCAAGTGGTGATGGGAACATGAGGAATTTTAATATATTTAACAATTGATCATGCTACCTAAATTCATACACCTTTTTATAGCAATTTAAGTAGTGACAGAAAGCAACATAAAATCACATGAAATACCATGATATCAACAGCCCTTGAATTTTGTTTATTCATCTACTGAATTTAGCACTAGTGAAAAATTAAAATAAATCTGCATGTAGTGAGTAAGTCTGAATGTACTGGGCATGTGGGATCAATCAGAGACTAAGGTAGAGAATAAAGTTCAACAGAATTTCCAGCAAATTAAATACATACTCCCTTTTCCCACATGCTTGACCCCCCAAAACACTGAGTTGCAGGAACAATAACTTCTGCTCTATGTTTGCTACATAGCATCATGTACAACTGGACAGAGTTTCAACTTCAGTTCTCAACTTAAAACAGCTATGCTAGTGATTCTTTCGGTGAATTTTTGCTACTTTCAAAATTGGCCATATGCTTTCGGTATTGGGCAGTGGTTAATGAGGTCACCCATGTATGATCAAAGTGTTGAAAAAAAATAACCCTTAAATGGGACACTGTTATCAAATATACCTTTACCCCAAGGTCTCAGGATATCACTGAAGAGGAGGCAGAAAGAGCATAATAGCCAGAGAATAGGAAAGAGTTCTATGAAATGCTGTCTTCTGAATATGGCACTACCTTTGAACTAACATGATCAAACTAGTCAACATTCCAGCAGGTTTGGGGAGTGGTTCAGAGGTTACCCACATTTAATACCCATAGCACTAATGAAATTCACTGTACTATGAAGAGCAGGGGGCAGAGTGAGGGAAGGAGAGAGAAAGAAACAAAGAAACTTGTAAGAAAGAGAAGGAAGAGAGCACATGAAGATAGGAGCCAATATGTTGGATGGGTAAGGAGTTTA